TGCAATTCAGTGAAACTCTTCGTTTTATCAGTGGGGACGCTACAGACTGGAGTCTCTGCTGATGGGGAGAAGCAGCCGAATGGATCCGATGTAGGTCAGACATGTGCTGAGTAGACACATGTCATACTTGCATCTGCAGTTTGAAAAGTGATGTCACAGAGCTGCTAGTATGCTGATATTGAATGTATGTACAAATGACCATAATTATTCTAAAAACAAGGGTTCACAAGGTGTTTTGATAGACAAAGCAAAAGCAAGATACCCAGAAGGCCAAATAAAGCAAGATTAAGGTGAAATTAGTGATATTGAAAAGGCAAAACAAGCAGATGCAAAAATACAAAATGCAAATAACAAAAGCAATAAAATCTTAATAGGCAATAAAAAGGCAACTTTGCATTAAAGCAAGTCTATAAAAATGCTCATTTTTACAAGTGATTTAAAAAGAAGTCACTGATTTTGTGAGTCCTCAGGCAGGTTGTTTCAAAGCCGGCGGGGCCTGATGGCAAAACCATGATCACCTTTAGATTTAAGCCTCAACTCTAGAACAGCCTGAAGGGCCCCAACTGAGGATCTAAAGCTACCAGCTGCCTCATACGGCATCAACATTTCTGATACGAAGCTGTGAGGCCAGAACTAGATGTGTTTTAAAGTGATCAGAAAAATGTTAGCAACATTACCAAAACAAACGGGTAGCCAGTGGAGAGAAGGCAGGACTGAGATGGTGCGATGTTTTCTGCTAAAACCAGTAAGAACCTCATAGCTGCTGAATTCTGAACTAGTTGGAGGCGGGAGAATCACTTTTGGTTGATGCCAAATGCATCTGCAAAACGTTGCATAAATATTTATGTGTAAGGAAACAGAAAAAAAGAGTTTTTGTGCAAAAAGAAAAAAGAATGTTCTCAACATATTTAGCAAAGGAAATTTGCATTATATAAGCATATAGTTTGTAGGTGACCATGTTGCTGACTAACAAAGTCCGTTTGCTTTATTATCTGTTTCAGCAGTGCCATGTTGCCGTGCTGGTTATATTTCAATTGATTGTAACTTGTTTAATAAAGTGTGGCGCTTCTTGACACAAGGCAGGCGGCACAGCAGGATTAGCATTTCTTTATGTAGAAAAAAGGTTTGCATTAATGAAGTAATATTCTTGGGTCTTGGCAGTTAGGCCTGAATTCCACATCGTTTGTTATATCTCTTGCAGTAAAACCGTCCTGGACTGATCCACTCTTGGTTGGGAGTTTCCTGACGATACCCAGACGTGTGTTGTATATACAAACACCCCGCATGGGCAGAGAACACACACTAATCCTAAAGCTGAAATCCCCTCTGACCAGATGTTGCAGCTTACAGACACACACCAGGCAAAAAATTAATGGCCATCACATGGTTCCTAATGAAGGGATTGAACGGGGCACACTCCCATCATGTCCGGGAGGTCGTCCATGTTCGGCTGTGATTCACCGGGATCCAGTCCCAGCCTAATTTACTGTGTCACACTTCTGTCTCACCTCTCATTTCTGTCTGCCTGCTATGAAAAAAACCTGACCTTTCAAAGTGCTGATCAAAACTGAAAAAAAAAAAAAAGTCCTCAGACAAAAAGAAGGCGGTGGTGGAGGAAGAGATGAAAAAAATAACTGAAGATAAACAGAGCGAGAAGGATGGAGAGAGACAGAAGAAAGAAAGAGCAAAGAGTGAGGACTACATTAGAGCGGCAGAAGGGCAGCAGAAGATAGAGAAGTCATACTTTCAAAGCTATCGCTGTTTAATAAGGAAAATAACCACAAAGCAGCTCTGCACTTATTAATTCAGGATTTAAGCCTCTGAACCCCCTAAAACCCACTGGTGGGTTTGAAAGACATGTGAGAGGAAAAAAAACAGGGAAAAAAAACCCAAATTACATCATTTATTAGTGCCAGAAACTGGAAAAAAACAGCAATATTACTTTGGTTTTGAACTTTCAGATGGTCCTTCAGCTAATTACATGTGACGCACAGTTCCGTTGGGTAAATTAAAAAGAAAAATTAATGTTTTAAAATGTATCAAAATCATCCATCCATCCATTATCTATACACCGCTTAATCCTCACTAGGGTCATGGGGGGCTGGAGTCTATCCCAGCTGACTCAGGGTGAAGGCAGGNAAAATAACCACAAAGCAGCTCTGCACTTATTAATTCAGGATTTAAGCCTCTGAACCCCCTAAAACCCACTGGTGGGTTTGAAAGACATGTGAGAGAAAAAAAACAGGAAAAAAAACCCAAAATTACATCATTTATTAGTGCCAGAAACTGTAAAAACAGAAATATTACTTTGGTTTTGAACGTTCAGATGGTCCTTGAGCTAATTACATGTGACGCGCAGTTCTGTTGGGTAAGTTAAAAAGAAAAATCATGTTTTAAAATGTATCAAAATCATCCATCCATCCATTATCTATACACTGCCTATCCCAGCAAACTTAGGGTGAAGGCAGGTTCACCTGGACAGGTAACCAGTCTATCACAGGGCTACACGTAGAGACAGCCAACCAAGCACACTCACATTCACACCTACAGACAATTTAGAATCACCAATTAACTTCAACATGTTTGTGGACTGTGTGGGAGGAAGCCGGAGAACCCGGAGAGAACCCACACTGCACGGGGAGAACATGCAAACAGAAAGATCCCGGTGCCCCCACCAGGACGCAAACCAGCGACCTTCTTGCTGCGAGGCAACAGTGCTACCAACTGCACCACCCTGCAGCCTGTATCAAAATCATTTCATTCTAAATGTCACATTTTAAAAAAATCAAAAATCAAAAATAGCCTGGTTGGGCAGTGACCCATGAACAAGAGCTGTAGAGTCACCGACGCAGAGGTCGTGGGTTCGAGTCTGGCACATGACCATTTACTGCAGGTCTTTCTCCCACTCTTCTCTCCATATTTCCTGTCTCTATCTCCACTTTAAACTATAATAAAAAAGAAACTAGAAGTCAATAAAATAAAATAAAATGCACTGACAAGATTCTCTAAGAAAAACAAAAAAAAATTGGTGCTTCTCAACGCAATTGAAAAGCTACGAGTGACTTGGCTGCAACCAAAAATTCACACGACTGCTCGGCTGAACTGCAGGCAGTGTTCACACAGAGCAGACAGGATACAAGTATGAAAACAAATTAGAGAGATTAAGAGCAAAATAAAACATTCTTGAACAATAAAATAAATGCACGTGGTTCACAAATGGTGCACAGAGGAGCAAAATGTCAACAAGTTGCTGAAAGATACGTTCAGCATCGTGAAACATTTTCTACAGCCAGCTTGTAGAGGTTGTAAAAATGGAAATAGTCAAATATCTATAGTATGTAGAGCTGCCATTTTTCACCTGTGGGCATGTGGTAAAATCTAACTTTCATTTTTTGTTTCTATTGTTTATAGCATGAATGCACTGCAAAAACAGACAGGTTTCAGTGCTGTTTCCAAAGAGGGGCAGGACTTCATATTGCAGTGACAAATGAGCCCACAGTGAGTTCAAAATGTGTCGGGAGCAAAGAAAAATGCCCAGAAACTGCTTTGGAGTTCAGAAGGTTAAAACAAATAATTGGCCTGAAACAAATACTACGTAACCTACTGGAAGACGACGGGATGAATGAAGTATTTTTAGGGTGGAATTCACCTTCTAATTCAGCTGTAAAAACAGATCAATAAAAAGGATTGTGTCACGCGTGGTTTATGAATTTTTAACAGCTTGAGAGAATCAGTGTAGTGATCCTTTAATCAAGACCTGCTGCTTCCCTGCTCCTCTAACTCCACATCCTGGAAGGAATGTGAGCTACACACACACTCTCACACACACACACACTCTCTCGGCACACACACACACACACACACAAAACACACAAATACACTTGCATGCACACACACACACAAAACAGGGTCAGCTAAATGTTTAAGTGTCCCTCTGGGTCATTTTCATATGATCTCTATCCAGATAGCTAAAGTAGGTCTGACACTCGACACCAGCTGCCAAATGCAAACACACACTCCCATGAGCTCATGCACAACACACACTTATAGCAGCACACACACACACACACACACACATACATATATATATACAGTGCACATTCAGCTCAGAGCTCTTGGATTTATTTGTTGGAATAAGCTGAATTTTCTCACTCAGAGCATCCAGCAGCTGTAACATCTGTCACTCAATCACCTGACCCCCCTGCTCCTAATCATATGATTAAAAGGGACTACTGGGTATTAAGAGATTTTAGAGAGGAGCAGCCCAAAGAGCGTGTCACAACATCTGAGTCTCATTCAGAAAAAAAAAAAACACACCACATCTGTTTCTCTTCGACGTAGTGCGCCGCCATGGTCACATAATGACATAATAACATATGTTCAACTGGAAGTCAAATGTGCATTTCTTAATAAGAATGCAAAACCAGACAACAGCCCCACTTTGTGATGAGACTCGGTTTGATTAAATCAGGCTCGCTGAGGTGAGGTTAATTGCAAAGCACACTGGAGTGTTATATATTGTGCGGCACATTGCGCAGCAAATCATCTCGGCGTGAAGCTCACCGTTACAACACATTTATTAAAAACCCCGCGTGAAGAGCGGCAGCACTGGCAGCGGGGGTTGCAAGCGTTGCTGCCGGGGTCGAAGCGGCACGATGATGCGATACAATCTGATTGGAAGGAGTCTGCACATTAAAAAAAGAGGGATGGCGAAGGAGGAGACGTGGTGAGGTCAGGTGAGGGAAGAGGGAGGGATGTGGAGATAGTGGAGGTCAGAGAGGTGAGGGAAGGCTGGAGGGCAGAAAGGAGAGAGGAGTGAGTGGAATGAGACGGGAGAAGAAGTTGGATGGCCAGAAATCGATGAAAGTTTCAAGCAAAGGAAATCTGGACGGAGTAGATGAAGGGGTTTGGAGTTTGATATGAAAGCAGGAAAGGAAAAGTTGGGATGAGAAGCAAAAAGAGAAGAGAGATGATTGGACGAAGCGTCATAAAGTACTTACCCTGACCCTGTGCTCTACTGGGGTAATACGAAACAAGAGCCAGCAACACCAGCGGAGCCCACAAACACCTGATCTGAACCTTCGACAGCATCCTCACGACCAGCAGCCTAAACCTGCAAACAGAGAGGAAACATTCGGTTGGGAAAGTGAAGGAAAAACCAAAGCGAAGGCAGACGGAGGCAGCAGAGAGAAAAGGGGGATTTCAGTGTGCATGAATGCCATTCAGCTGCAGAGACACTCGGTGGGTCAACGGGACCCACCTTACTCCACTCACAGCTCCGGAGGGCTGATCTGGAGTCAGTTATTTGTGTCTAATATCCACTTTTTGAACAATTACAGAGCAGAGGCCCCCGACGGGCCAGACTGACCGCAGAGCAGCGGCCGAGGCCTGCCGCCTACACAGGACCAAACAGTGGAGGACTTTGTTCCAGAGAAGACAAGAAGAAGAAGAGGGCTGACAGGAAAACGATGGACAACAGCCGGAGTGACAGACGGCCAGAGAGCAGTTTGATTGACAGTGCAGGGAGGGAAAATTTCACAAGTGCCATTGTCCGAGCAGCAGATCAGACACAACAGCTCCTCTCCCATCCTCCCCTATCTCATCTCCTCCTTTCACCCTTCACTTTTTGTTCTCTGCAGCCTCTCCTACACGTTTCCTTCCCCCCCTCCTCCTCCTCTCTCCCTTTTTGCCTCTTGATCTTCACCACCTCTCCAGTCTGCCACTCATTATTACGAGCTGAGGGTTGGACACACACCCACTAACACACTTAACACACAGACGTCTTATCGTTTCTGTCTTAGGAAACACACACACCTCGCTGGCTTAAACCATGAATAAAACAGCATGTGGAGCAAAAAGAAAAAAAAGTTGTTTCTACAGTCTGATGGAGGGGGGTAACCCTGAGAGAAGAAGCAGCTCCTTCAATTCAGACAGTGTCAAAAGAGCAGAAAAATGACAATGCATATTAATAAGCATAAAATACTCCAGGAAATAGGGTGATTTTTTTTTTCTCTTTACAGATCAGCCTTGAGACAAGAATGAGAAGGATTAAGCTGGAATAAGTAACACAAGATGCAAGAACATAAACATGAACACACACACAAATGAGAATTAATTATTCTACATGAAGATCAGACAGAGCAGGTTCAGGTAAAAGGCAGCAGGTCGAGGCCTACAACAGGCACAAGTTTCTCCTGTGAATGTCCACTTTCTTTCAATCCAAAGGGCAACTTTGCAAACTGGTTAATTGGTTAATGAAAACCAGAGTTCAGGCGTCACCCATTTACTGGAGGAAAAAAAAGCACTTTATTCTCTGTTTTAAAGGCAGTGGACACAATATGACTGATAAATTAAATGAAACACCGCAGACAATCCTACACACACGCATTATTACTATAAAAGTGCAAAGAAAAATAGAAGAAGGGGAGAAAAAAAAGCGCAGGCGACTTGTTTTATTGTGGCAAACAGCCCTCAGCCTGACAAAATCAACGCTTTATAAATCCATTTTCCACCTGCCTGTGAGCCTGCAACTTGCTGATCGTTTTCAAAGTGCAGCCGTCTGATTTAATCGAAGTTTCTCCGCCTGATTTGGGGCCAAACTCTGAGATTTATTCAAATTAACTGATTGCGTCGCGCCGCACACCTGAGACCGACTCCGCCGCACGCACGATGAATGAATGAAATCGCCTTTTCATACCTCTCCAGTCATCAATTCAAAGCGTCCTTTTTATCCCCAGAGGAAATCCTCTGAATACCAAAGACTGCTGCTGCCTGCCTGCCGCCGCTGCTGCCTCCCAAAGCGTTCCTCTTTCTTTCTTTCTTCTTTCTTTTTTCTCTCACTCCTTCGCTCCGGATACAATTCGGTCAGTCCGAAGTGGGTGTTTCTCTCCTCGTTATTCAGCCATCCCTCCCTCCAGCTATTCCTCCCTGTCCCAGCCCTCTCCTTCGCCCGAGTTCATCTCACAGAGAGAGAGAAAGATAGAAGCAGAAAGAGAGAGAGAGAGAGACCGAGAGAGACGCGAACCAGTGGCGCTGCGCAAAATCCTCCGCTGCCAACCTGCAGGTCTCAGATCGCCTTCAGCCCCTCGGGGCCCTTCATGTGGAGGACATATCCGTAATCTGTGGCTTTAAAACGATCCACACGGTCGTTACTGAACCTCGTTTTCTCCTTTTTTTTTATGTGTGAGCGCGTAAGACTTGTAGAAATAATAATAATAAAGAACAGAAAGTCCGTGTGAAAATGGCTCTGCGCGCTCGGAGCAGGTGCCTGTTCTGTGCCCCGCTGCTCCGCCAGCTTTGAAGTTAAAGGCACAATGACACAGGTTTTATTGCTCAGCTCAAAGTTGGGCTTTCAAAAGAAACAATCTGACCAAAGCCACACGGAACATTCCCAGTTCACAGTTTCACCAGTTCACAAAAGCCCACGGAACAGCTTCCTTCCACGGAACCAGTTGGTCACTTGTTTCCACGATACAGAGAAAAAAGATCCAGTAGGAAACCTGCTCAGAGATGTTCAATGGAGACAAAACTTCATGAGCAGACAATTTATTCCTGATTCAAGTGAATTTCTACATGAGATGAGTCAAATTATTTGGTTGGATCTGCGCCTGAACACTTGATCAGACTGCCAGAACTCTTTAAATGAACTGTTGATGAAGTTGACATACATGAGAAGATGTTGTAATCAGCATCTTAATTCTTCACGACCTGAGACTGGGTCTAAAATCCCTGCAGAAACCTTCAATCTTCAATTCATTCAGGTTTGGCTGATAAATATTTAAGATGCACAGTTCACAAAGCTGCAAACAGCTTTTTAACATCAAACACTTTTACATGCACAAAACGTACTTCAGGCTCTAAAAATGTGAAATCAAGGATGAAATCAGCTGACAATCTTGTTCTATTTGCATCTATCCTGTAAAAAAAATATTAAAAATCTGGGAGGAAGGGTGCCAGCAAACAAAAAAAGCTTCAAATACAGTGGAATGGAAACTATAAAGGCAAATATCTGTAAAATCATGACGTTATTATGATGTTATTATAACAATTTGTAAAATTACAGATTTTTATTGTGGACATCATGTTGAGTGTGAGCCTGTTTTTTCTTTCTTTCTTTCTTTCTTTCTTTTGTTTTTATTTTCAGTTAACAGACTGATTTAACCAGATATGAGCTGGAATTTGTCAAAACTGTCAAAATAACAGGTAAAAAATTATTTACCATTTCTTCAGTCTTTCACATACAAAGTTTTTCCTTTAAACAACAGCAGATATCTGTAAAGTAATGACAGCTTTTAAACATTAAACATTAAAAGTCCTCTAACTTGTCTTTCTTCTAAATTATTACTTTCAAGTTAACCGAGTAGCATCTGAGGAACATTAGAACATTATAATTAGTTTTAACTGTACAAACAATCCAAAAATATGTGATAAGTGATTCAGGAGAAGCTCAAAAATCGTGGATATTCACGGGAACTTTCATGAATAGGAAGGTTCCTGAAGGATCCTATAGGAACCGTTCATAAGTCAAAAGGTTCCTGGAGGATTTTTTTATTTTTTTGTAGTTAGATGAAGGCCTAACTAACACCTGCGCTTACATTTTCTTTCATTTATTTTATTTGAAAACTTCATTTTAAAATCTTAAATCTTCATTTTTCATTTTCACTTCATTTTTCCCTTCTGGGATGAATAACGTATTTTTCATTTCATTCATTTCATTTCATTTCATTTATTGTCACCGCATACATCGCAATGTCTCAGATATCACAGGCCTGATTTGTTGAATATTTTGCTGAATTACTGCGCTGTGGTGTCTGTGAGCTAAATATGAAGCTCGTCTGCTACAGCCAGGAGGGGATTAGCTTAGTTTAGCATGAACAGAGAAAACAAGGGTAAACAGCTCAACTGGCTGCGTCCAAAGCTTAAAAAACATCCACCCACCAGCACCTCTAATGCTTCACTATTTAACACTGTATTTATGGAGTTTAAAACTGAAAATGCGGCTTTATGGTTTTATGGTGGGCTGTGATTCAGGCTGTTGCCAGGCTTTATGCTAAGCTAACCATCTCCTGGTTGCAGCTTTACAGGCCTGAAGGTGGCGTCACTTCCTCATTACGTCCTAACAAGCGAGCAGAATGACACAAAACGTAGAACTATCCCTTTATACCAAATTGAGCATTCCAGCGGGTCGGTCAGCACCAGCGGTTCCTTTCAGAGAAGCGACTCGAGTGCACTTTGTAATCCTGTTTATACTCTCAGCTCGTCTGCTGTTGAAGAAACTTTGCCCCGAGGGCGTGAAGAACGGGAGTCATGGGAAACAGTGAAATGTGCCGGTGGCTGGCTGAGTTGAAACGGCGAATAGCTTCACTCCAGGTGTGTCCCTGAGGCACACACACAAAGACACACACACACACAAACACACACCTTAGCCAAACAACTGTCCAGATGCCATGAGCACTATAATCAGGTGGATAAGGATTCGGTGTCCTCCTCCCACCTCTTTCTTCCTCCAGCCTCTTCCTCCCTTCCTGTCCTTCTGTCGTCCTCTTTCCCTTCATCTGTTGCCCATCTGACTCAGACCACACACGCCACAACAAACACGGCACACTGCTGCACGGCCAGCGTACACAATTAGGGCTGGAAGCTACAACCTCAAATCTATATCCAGATCAATGATAAGCTCTGTAACAATAAATGGAACAATATAATTATATTTTTAAACAGTCATTTATGTATTTCCTCTCTGATCTTGTCCCCTCTTCTGCTGGTTAGTAATCAATAGCTGCACAGCCCCGACAGTTTAAAGACAGATATTTAAGAAGCATGATGTGATAAAAAGATTTTGATCAACGAGGGACTCAAAATATATCATTGTGCAGCTCTACACACAAATAAATCTAATTTCTGTTTGCCTGAGCTGCAACACTTTTGCACGTGTTGCACTTTCTTTCATCACGTTTTACTCATCATGAATTTGACATTTGTGACTTTTTAAATTTAAATCCACACAAATAAGTGCATCCCATGGAAAATGTTGTATCTGTGAACATATTTGCACAAGAAAACATCTGATCTTCTTGGAGACAGTGCCGATTAGTAAAGGTGGCATACTCAAACCAATGACATAAAATTGACATTTTGTCGTCAAAAAAACAGATCAATCAGATTTACGGCTCCGTCAGATCCATAAAAGCAGTGGAACCTGTCTTATTTAAACCTCTTTATATTCAGGGTCTCCTGTTCTCTTTGCCATTAAAGTGTGTGGTGCCATCATGCCAAGAACTAAAGAGCTCATAACGTCTCCAGAAAAAAAGGTTGTGGACGAGTCTGTCAAGGGATTCAAATTGATTTCTAAATTATTTGAAATAAATCATTCCACTGTAGGAAATATTCTCCACAAGTGGCGAATATTTCAAAGGACTCTCCAGGACTTGCTGGTCCAGTAAATTCAGCACACAGGTCGATGCAAAAACGAATCCCCGAGAACCCCAAAATTTCATCTCAGAATCTACAATCTGCAATCCTGCACATTTGGTGTCAAAGTTCAGCGTCTGCAGTCAGAAAGAGGTTTGATCTGAATGGAAGAGGGGGTCAGGAAAAAGCCTTCGCTGTCCAAGAAGAACATCAGAACAAAGCTACAGTTTTCTAATAAGTACAAGCAACTAAGAACAAGCCTTTTGGATGAACATGCTCCAGACAGTAACAGCAGACAGGTTAGCTGCAGACCGAAGACGTCTTTTCAGTGGAGAACCTCAAACCAACCGTACAGCATGGTGGTGGGAATGTTACGGTTTGATGTTGTTTCACTGTTTCAGTTACTGGGCAGCTTTGAGTCATTGATTTAACTGTGCATTCTGGATCGTATCAAAGGCTGCTTGAAGATCATTTTAGGCATTTTAGGCAGCACACTGGCAAATCCACCAAAGACTGGCTCAAAAGGAAGAAATGGAGCGTTATGGAAGAATTGAATCCCATTGAAATGTTGTGGGGAGGATTTGAAACGAATTGCACATGCAAGGAAACCCTCAAACGTCTTGGAGGAATTTTATATGTAAGTGGTCAAAAACTTTCAGTAGCCTGATGTCAGAGGGTGGTGGACAGTTTAGCACGACGCCTGCAATGAGTTGTTCCTGCTGAAATGGGGGCAGTGGTAGCTTCTGAGGTCAAGGGTGTTGGGGGAAGATCTCATGTAGGGATATTTTTAAGAAAACAAATGATTGAAAAAGCAAATACTGCACTGTGCTGTTGTTCAAGAGTACCACCTTAATCTGTAAGTGCTTTTACAAAAAGGATCAAATGTTTGCAGGTTACTTTTTCACATGACTCTACAGTTTGTGTGCACATTTATGTTTCCCTAAGTTTCAGGTGTCATAATTTGGGGATTTATTAGAATTTTTGATAATGAAATATGTGCAAAGCAAAACTCCCACTTTTAGCATCGTTGTTCTTCTGACTAGCTTCAGTCGTGCAAACAGTGGTGCTATTGTTTAGTGCTATCAAATGCTAGCACGCTAATATTCTAAACTATAGACTGTGGTAAACGTTCCTGAAAAACATTAAATTAAGGTTATATAAATTATTGCAATGCATAAATTCTTACAAGTAGAAGAGCTTCAATGGACCTTTGGGGCTTCCTCAATATTGCCACTATAGAGGAGCCTTTTGAGGTCAAACCGGCCACCTGAGGAGCCGCTCAGAAGGGTTCTTCAAGGAACCGTTTTGTGGGGTTTGGGGTTCCATGTTGAACTTAATATTATTATTATCATTATTGTTGTTGTTG